GGAAGGAACGAAGGATGGAGGGAAGAAGGGAGAGGGAGGGTTGGTGGAATAGAGGAGGAAGAGGATTGTAGGGTCCTTGGTGCTCTCTGAGCTTGATGGTTTTCTTCCAGGCGTTTCATGACCCATCATCAGGGCTAGAAGGGTTTGCATGGAGGAGGAGGAGGACTTTGGGGTCCTTAGTGCTCTCTGAGCTTGATGGTTTTCTTGCAGGTGTTTCATGACCCAACTAGGTAACATCATCAGTGCTAAAAGGAGCTGGGTGAGGAAGGAAGGAAGGAAGGAAGGAAGAGAGGGAGAGAGGGAGAGGAGAGGAAGGACTGTGGAGTCTTGGGTGCTCAGTCACAGCTCAGCCAAGGAGAAGCTGGTCAGGAAAAGCTGGTTTAGATGCCCCCTGGAGCTCTGAGACCAAACCCCTGTAAAGCATGAACCACAAATGAATGAATTCATAATCACCAATTAACCCGTCGCGGCTGGGCCACGGGACGTGGTCACGGCAAACTTCCTGCACGCTGGACTGAGGATTGGTGTGGATGGCTTCCAGGTTCTAACCCAGTACTTCTTCGGAGTGGGAGGGGGGCGTTTGCAGGCACCTGAGGATGTAATGCAAAAAAAAAAAGCACCCCCTTCCTCCCCCAACCTTCTCCTGACAGCATGCTGGCCCCCCATTTTTAGCCGGTTGAGTTCCCCAAATCCTGCACCAGCTGGTTGTCTTTGCCCGCATGGCATCTCCCTCCCCAGAAAAATTGTGCATGAAAGACTAAACTGCCCTTCCTGCCTGTGAATAATAATTGCATTCGCACACACACACACACACACAACACACACACTCTGTGATGAGTGGTACAGCCCAAAGGGGCGTGGTACAAAGGCCACACAATCAGAGAATCAGTAGGGGTCCCTTTGTTTGCTCCCACATTGCCCCCAATGTCCTGGTTACCTTCTGGCTGGAGAAAAACTCTCCCAGGAACAGCCTTGGGCTGCAGAGAATCAAGTCCAAATCATGGTCAACACAAACTGTAAATTAAAGTCCAAACAAGGCAAGATGAGGTAATTAGTTTGGCAGGGCAGGAGAAGGAATTCCAGCCGTAAAGGAATGGCCGTAATTAACCCGGTTGGGAGGATGCCAGGAACACAGATAACCAAAGTCAACACAAGATAAACTCATGTTTGTTCTCAGCAACCACCGTTCTCAGCATGCATCTCTTTTAAGCTCCCTTCCTAGCTGTAGCTAATGAAGTGAATCAGGGCCCTTTCCTCCCCCGTAAGCCACGCAACCCATGTTGCTCCCTTCTCCGTTCCTCCCTGCATGCCTTAGGATGAAGAGGGAGTGGGCCTGAGTCTTCCTCTAAACTCCCTCTCCCTTGTTCTACCTCTTCCCTGCTCTGCCCAGCCGGACTTTGCCCTTCCCCAGTTTCCTCCACAGCCAAGGGAGCCACGCTCCCACTCCCTGTCAGCTGTTCCTCTTCCTCCTTGGATTCAGACTCTGAGGGGGGCATCACATACACACACACATGCATACACACACACACACACACACACACACACACGAGCGTTTGGGGGGGATCGGGATGCCTGCGAGAAAGTTGGGCCACCTAGGAAAGGCATGGCGGACCCCTTGCTCTCCTCTCTCTCTCTCTCTCTCTCTCTCTCTCTCACTCCCCACTCCCCACCCTTGCACACGTGTGTGCGTGCCTTCCTTTCACGGCTGTGTCTGTCTCTTTCGTCCGCAGGGGGAGGGTTTACACCAGCTCCGAGAGGCTTTGAAGATTTTAGCAGAAAGGGTTTTAATCTTGGAGGCCATGATTGGGCTGCATGGTGAGTAGAGACAGGGAAAGGAAGGAGGAGGAGGAGGACAGACCAAAACACCAAGTTGTAGCAGCTTGTAGCAGGGGCGAAGGGGGCCGGGGGTCTCGGAGCCCACCTCCCTCCAATCTTGAGCTTCCCAGACAGAAGGGGGCTGCAGCTTATGGCATCCCAGGTTTTGTCTCCTCTTGATGGAGGAAGGAACCAAGGTAGAGAAGGCTCTTCTGGAATGGATGCATCTCTTGAGAGAAGCTGCCCCGACGTCCTATCTCTTTGTCTGGGAGGGTGGGAGCTGGATTGTGCATATTAAAAGGGAGATATCCCACTCTGGCCAGATGGCCTGGCTCCTCCCTCCCTCCTTCCCTCCCACCTTCCCACCTATCTTTCCCCTTTCTCATGCTCCTCTTTACCTTCCTTCCTTCCTTCCCTCCCCCCTCCCTCCTTCCCTCCCTCCCTCCCCCAACCTTCCTTTTCCCTTTCTCGTGCTTTTCCTCCCTCCTTCCCTTTTCCCTTTGTCATGCTATTTTCACTCCTTCTTTTTTCCTCCCTCCCTTCTTTCCTCCCTTCCTCTTTTCTCATGCTCTTTTCTTTCTTTCCTTCCTTCCTAACTACCTTTTCCCTTTCTCATGCTTTTCCTCCCTCTTTTCCCTTTCTCATGCCCCTCTTTTCCTTCCTTCCTTCTTTCTTTCTTCCTCCCTCCCTTCTTTCACCCTTTCTCATGCTCTTTTCCTCCCTTCCTTCCTCCCTTCCCAGAGACGCTGCTTTATAGGCAGGTACCTAAGCCCTTGACTGGGATTTGGACCCATTAGCCTTCAGAGGGCTCCCCCTGGCGAGAAAAGAAAGGAAAAAAGATTTCTTTTAACGATGTTTTGGTGAGGGATGCTGTAGACTCCCAGAAAATACATTTTTCAGGGGGCAACTTGGAGAAGCTGGGTCCAGATCCAAAGAGAGACAAGACCTCAGGAATCGGCCTTATCAAAGTGTGGGGTTTAAGTGTGCAGGGATTGTGACAACAATTGATCTCAGCTTTCTTTTTTATTTTATTTTAAAGCCTTATATTTATACCTTCCTGGGTGGACTGCATGATTGGACGGTTGTGGTATTCAAGGCGACATAAGATCGCCCTTTAAGAGCAGAGGTGAAGGTTAATGGATAAATTAACCTTAGCACTTAAGGAAAAAGAAACATCACAATATAGAAGCTGGGAATGCTGGTATGACTGGATAGAACAAAAATAGAAAATATATTAGTAAATGCTGTAAAACGTGAAAGAGGTAGTAATTATATACTCGCAATAAGATGTATTTGTAACTATGTCACCAATATTGATAACGAACAAGGAACCATAGACTGTCGATAATAGAATTGCTAGTTTTTAATCGTTTTTTCTTTCTTTCTGTGTGTTGTGTATGTGTTCGTTTGACATTTTAGTTGTGTAATCAATAAAGTTTGTTTAGAAAAAACAAAGAGCATAGATGGTGGTGGGGAAACGGCGGCCCTTTAATGACTCGTGGACTTCGACTCCCAGAATTCCAGAGCCAGCAATGAGCCAGAATCCTGGGAGTTGAAGTCCACAAGTCATGAAAGGGCCGCCGTTTTCCCCTCCGCCCCTGATTTACGATATTCCCAGCCAGCTTCTGACAAGCAAACGTGGAACCTTCCCTTCCCACAGGTTCCATACATGGGAGAAATACCCGAGCGCCTTTCTCTCTGCCCCACAAGGAAGACCCTCTGCCCCCCACTCATCCCACCCCCCGCCTCCAATGCCACCTTTCCAGAGGACCCTGGCTTCTGGTTCCTGGGCTCAGGACTTTCCCCCCCTCCAACTTCCCTTTCTTGTTCCTTCTGGGGGGGGTCAGTCCTTCTGGGGTGGGTCAGTCAATTTCCACTCTGCTCTTCTCGCTCCCCGCCAGGCCATTAGCTTGCCAAGCTTCCTAGAACAGCTGGAGCTCCTGGCTAGGAGAGTCACCTTGCTGGAAGCTATCATCTGGCCAGGTAATGCTCAACGCCGAGGGCCTGTCTTCTCCCCCCCTCCCCTTCCTGTTCTTCCAACGCATGGTGCATTATTCACCAGGATCCCGGCGAGCCAGAGGTCACCCTGGCAGGTGCCATGGGGTTTTCACCTTCTACCTCCGTTCCAAAAGTTTGCATGCCAACCTTTTCCTGTTGCGCCCATCACCTTCCTGAACACACGTTCTTTTTTTCCCCTCTTCCCTTTAAAAAAAAATCCTAGCATGGTTTGGCCTGCCTTGACTCCCTTGCTGGTGGGAAGGGTTGGGGATGGATACATCCTCTGGCTGCAGGATTGGAGGGGCGTCGAAAGGTTCCAGCTCCGCGGTATCGAAACAAACGAGATTCGGATGGCTGGAGTTGTAGAATCCCAGATTCTGCTGGGAATCCTTTGCACCTGCTCGGTGGCATCTCCAGCTAGCCTGCATGCACTAAAAAAAATACAGCTTGCACCCATCCAGCAGGGGTGGAATAAACCCTCAATTTTTTTGGGGGGCGGGGGGCGGGATAGGTGTCCAGCTCCATTGAGACTGCAGCTCAGTGGCGGGATTCAGCTAGTTCGAACCAGTTCAGGAAAACCGGTTAACTTTCTGAGCAGTTTGACAAACCGGTTGTTGGAAGAAATCATCACGGCCAGGGGTGGGATTCTACCAGTTCGCACCTATTCACTAGAACCGGTTGTTAACCTTCTAAGCAGTTGGGAGAACCGGTTGTTAGAAGAAATTACAGGGCTAATCCTGTAAGGAAGGCAGGAAGGAAACATTCTGGTGTTGCTTACAGAAACTGCCTCTCTGTTAACCCTTATTACATTCTTGGCAGGACTAGACTTCCTGTCTCAGGAACTTCTCTGGAGTTTTTTCCCCCTCCTTTGCTGGTACTTTGCTTGTGTGGAGTGACCATTCAAAGTTACAATGGCACTGAAAAAAGTGACTTATGACCGTTTTTCACACTTACGACTGTTGCAGCATCCCCACAGTCATAAGAGGCCAGGCGAGGAGATGCGTGCCTCGATGTGAGTGATATTGAGTTGGCCACACCCAGCTAGTCACATGACTACCAAGCCACACCCACCAACTAAGCCACACCCACAGAACCGGTTGTTAAATTTTTTTGAATCCCACCCGATTACGGCGGAGAACCGGTCATTCAATTATTTGAATCCCACCACTGCTGCAGCCGTTCCTGCAGCTAAAAGTTCCCGGCTGACCCGTTTCTTCCTCCATTTGGCAGAACCAGATCTGGGATCCGGCTTTGATCCGGCCACTACGGGCGTTTCCGGCTACGATCGCAATAAGCGCAACGAGAACATGGCGGCCTACCGGGTGAGCTCACACCATCTTTCTCGGAAGGGAGAGGAGAGGAAGAAATGAAGGTGGTTCCGCCCACCATCTGGCAAAGAAGAAGAATCACGTCTGGACTGAAGGACCTCCGAGGTGGAGGCTCCCCTCCTCCTCCTCTTCCCTCTGCCTTGGACCAGTGGTGAAGGAGACGGTGGGGTGGGGGGGGCTGTTCGATGAACCAGGTTGGGGACGGGACCCTGCCAGCAAACCCTCCTCTGTATTTATTTGTTCTTTTCACACGGGGGAATTTGTTCCTGCTATGGAACCAATAGGAATAGATGCTGTGGCAGAGGTCTCCAAACTTGGCCACTTTAAGACTTGTGGACTTCAACTCCCAGGATTCTCCAGCCAGCATAGCTTAACCCTCTTGCAATCCCTTCCTCTGCAATCTCTCTCCACTGTAGGAGATTAAGAGAGAGAGAGAAAAAGCAGGCATGGCTGGCTGGGGAATTCTGGGAGTTGAAGTCCACAAGTCTTCAAGTGGCCAAGGTTGGAGACTCCTGGTATAAAGTCACATCGTCTTCAGGTTGATGTTCTTCAGCTTGAGCTCAACCATGTAGCCTTCAAGTCCTTGACACCTGTGGCATACCTGTGGGACAGGATGTTCACCTCTGCCTGGGACTACAAAAACAGGCCAGCTCCTAGGAAATGCGCCCCAGAGACCTGGGCCTTTGATTCCCAGGGGAGCAGTAGGCATAGAGCAGAGGTCCCCAAACTTGGCCACTTTAAGACTTGTGGACTTCAACTCCCAGGATTCTCCAGCCAGCATAGCTGACTCTCTTGCAATCCCTTCCTCTGCAATCTCTCTTTGCTTTAGGAGATTATGAGAGAGAAAAAGCAGGCACAGCTCGCTGGATAATTATGGGAGTTGAAGTCCACCAGTCTTAAATGTTGCCAAATTTGGGGACCCTGTGTTATGAGGTCTATATTTGGGGGGGGGGGGAGGTCTCGGCTTGCCTGTCACTTGCCAGAGATCCCCTCTTGTGGTCAGATTGGACCACAGTTTGGCAAGGGGTGGGTCCAGCAAATCCAGCCTTTTGCCACCTTCTCACCCGTGGTGGCATCTCTCTGGCATGTGATGCTTCCTTTCTTGCTGTTCAAGTTTGGAACCTCAATGTTACTTTTTTTTTTTTAATTGGATCTTTTCTCCTTTTTGGTCTGGAAAACAAAACAAAACACCCCCAAAACCCAGCCATTCTGCATTCTGTAAAGCTGTATTTCTCAATCTTTTAAAAGACTTTGACTGTCTTCAAAAGTTCCCAGGGTGGAGAAACCACCACAAATGGATGGAGATGGAATGAAAGAATCTTGTGGCACTTGGTGGATAAACTGACTAATCGTTGTAGCCCCAAACTCTGGGTGTTTGTTGGAAGGAAACCAGAATCTGCACAAAACTTACATGGAATTAAGATGGGGAGTCTTTATTGATGGTCTCAACTTTTTTGAAATTTGTATATTTCTCCTAACGGTCTTCCTTTATTATTATTTTTTGGAAAAAGATTTGTTGGGGAGGGACGGTAGCGAAGCAAGGATTGCTAGCTTGCCCTTTCCAGCATCGGTTAACAATTTTATGGGACGGGGGAAATATATTTTCTTCTGTTTAAAGAATAGTCTTTGTGCCTCTTCGTGTCTGTATCTGCTTGATCTGCATTTTTAAAAATGAACGGTATCTTTGCGCAAGCTAACACAGGGCATGTTTTCCTGGATGCTTCCCTTGGGATCCCGAAGGCTCATTCTTAACACCCCACTTTTTAAACAGGTCCTTGGTTTTAAAAGTGTAAGTGGGTGGATAGGCTTGGCAAAAACTGCCTTGGGTTTCTGCAATTCAGTTCCCTTTTGCATGCAACCGGGGTGGGTTTTGTTTTGTTTTGGTTTCGCTCCATTTATTCATCTCCAGAGTTGGGGGGGGGAAAAAAAGGAATTGCAAGCAGACAAATCACAACTCTGGTCTGGAAAGGCATCCTCTGTTCCTCAAATCCTCACGGCCTTCTAGCAACCCAGGTAGGCCCAGATGAACCTGGGTCTGAAGCTGACCTGCAGCCTTATCCGTGCTCTTGCAAAACCAGGTTCGATTCTGCAGCGCGTCCCCTCTGTCCTTGTGGCATCCGTGGCCATTTCTTCCCAGGATGGCTGAAATTCGGCTCCAATGCCAAAAGGGGTTGATCTCATGGGTTGGGGATCGACTGAGGCCGTGTGGGAGGAGGTGCTGAGCGGGTTTCGGCTATCACCACGGCTTGGTCCCCAACATGGCCTCCGATTAGCAGAGAGACGGCTCCTTCCACATGGCCGGTGGCTGCCAAAGCGATCATGGCTTCTTCCGTCGGGAAGCCCATCTTCTGCAGCTGCTGGAGCCTGGGAAGGGGGCGAAGAGAAGAAGGCGGGACTGGTGTCAGAGGCCGGGTGGTCAGGCCCATGAAACAAGAACAACGGGGTTATTTCTGAAACTACTTCTGCAGTTCTTTTTTAATTGTCATTTACCTACAGACAGAATCTTGCCGGAGTAAAACAACTGCGTGCATCCCATACGTGCTTTTTTTTTTCAAAAGGCAACTGGACTTTCTGGTTTTTCTTTGAAGAGGTTTCGCTTTTCATCCGAGAAGCTTCTTCAGTTCTGAAGAAGAACTGAACTGAGAACTGAAGAAGCTCCTTGGACGAGAAGCGAAACGTTTTCGGGGAAAAAAAACAAGGAAGTCCAGCTGCCTCTTGAAAAAGGCACCTTTGGGACAACTGTGACCTGGATGATGGAGAATCTCCATAAACTCTGGGCATATAACTATAAATATACAGTGGTCCTCGACTTGCAACAGCGACTGCTTGACGTTACAACAGCACTGGGGGGAAAAATGACTTGGGGCTTGTCCTGTCTTTTAATTACTGGCTGAATATAAAGACAGTCAGATTAAACTCTACAAAGGCTTCCATACAAAGTTTCTTTATTGGTTCACAAGGCATCCTCAAATATAACTCACGGTTATGTCGAGATTCATCTTAATGTCCAACTCTTTGCACAGATGACTTCATAGTGTCAGAGAATAGTGATCTTTCATCCCATAACTATGGAGCAAAGGCGTGAGACACCAGCACGCTGCCGGGGTCCAAGCAGGAGTAAAGGAAACTCCCCCAACCCAACCAAGGGTCAATTCAGTGGCCAATCGGGATTACAGCTGTGACCACATGACATGAACTACATTTCCCAGGATGCATTAACTACATTGACCATGAGGCATTCCCTTAAGGGGACAGCTCCCAATCCTAACTTAACTATCTCAATTCCCGTTACCTATATACTGTCTGGACAGCACAGGGCTGTTTCTCACCCTTACGGCCGTTGCAGGATTCCCCAAGGTCATGTGATCCAAACTCACGGGAGGCAGAAGCCTCCTCGTTCGTTCCCCAGAATCTTGCACTTACAGATTCACTGCTCCTACAAGCTGGAGGCTCCACTCGGCTCCGCCCACCCGATTTCTCCCCGAGGATTTACCGGAGGGAAGAGACAGAAGATTTGAGCAGCTTCACTTCTTCTTCGTTTCTGTCTTGCAGAGAAGCCTGGATGGCTGCTTGTATTAGCTCTTCCTCCGTCGGGAAATTTGGGAGAGAGAAGGAAGGGGTGCCTGAAGCCTCGCGGGGATCCGGGAAGGGATGCTGGGACGTTGGAGGAAAAGGCAGCTGGGACTCCCGGCCTGCCCTTCGGTCGGTCCAAGAGGGAGGAGGGGGCGGGATCTGGATGGCAACGGCCCCCGCCAGGTTGGATGGAAACGCCTCCTGCGCAGGAATTCTGGAAGAAGGGAGAGAAGGAAACGGGGGTCCAAACGGGTCAGATTGGAGCCATTGCCTATTACAGTGACGGCAAACCTTTTCGGCACCGAAGCGCCCATGCCAGAGTGCTGGAAAACCAAAGACCAGCTGGCTGTTTTTGGGTCATTTGGGGGGCCGTTTTCAGACCATTTTCAGGCCATTTTGGGGGGGTCTTTTTGGCCTGAAAACGGTCTGAAAAACGGCTTGTCTTTTGGACATTTTTGGCTGGTTTTTTTGGGCTGTTTTCAGGTTGTTTGTCATACCAAAAATGGCCCTGAAAACGGCCCAAACATGGCTGGAAAACAGTCCTGGAAAACCAGGCTGTTTTGGGGGTGTTTTCTGGGCCATTTTCGATGCCCAAAAACCTCCTGGAAACGTCCATGTTTTTCGAGCCATTTTTCAGCAGTCTGTGCCCGCGAGGACCAGCTGGCTGGCATGCATGCCAGGAACCAGAAGAGCAGCTGGCGATGGTGCGCAGGCCCACTCAGAGGGCTCTGCGTGCCACCTCTGGCATACGTGCCGCAGCTTCATCATCATGGGTCTATTAGATTGTGAACTGAGCAACGTGGGACGGTGACATCGAACTACAATTCCTCAACCCCCCCCCCTCGCTAGCAAGGTGAACAACAAGGGGGTGTTGGGAGTTGTAGTCCGGCAGCCCTAAGAAAGCAAATGGACCGTCCTTCCAAAATACCTTTCCTTTTGGTCTGGAGTGGAGAGGGTGCCGGCGGAGAAGGGCCTGACCAAGTGAGAGAAAGCCCTTCTGAGGCGGTTCCAGCCTGGGATTTTCTTCTGCAGCCTTGCCAGGCGTCTCTTAGACAATGTCCCAGCACAGTCTGAAGCATTAAGGACAATTGTAGAAGCCGGAAGAGACCTCCAAGGTCATCTAGTCTAGTCTAGTGGGGTTTTTTTCCCCTTTACCCCAAAAAATCATCATCAAATTCTTGTGGTTAAAGAGCGCTATATTGCAAGCTACTTTTGCTGCAGCCAGCTGCCTGCAATTTGGCAGTTTGAATCTCACCGGGCTCAAGGCTGACTCAGCCTTCCCTCCTTCCGAGGTGGGTAAAAGGAGGAGACCCAGATTGTTGGGGGGCGAGAGGCTGGCTCTGTAAACTGCTTAGAGAGGTCTGGTAAGCACTGGGAAGCGGTATAGAAGTCCATTGTTAAGTGTGGAAGGAAGGAAGGAAGGAAGGAAGGAAGGAAGGAAGGAAGGAAGGAAGGAAGGAAGGGCCATGGTGGCGCAGTGGTCAGAATGTAGTATTGCAGGCTAATTCTGCCAATTGCCAACAGTTCGATTCTCACCACTCAAGGTGGACTCAGCCTTCCCTCCTTCCGAGTTGGTTAAAATGAGGACCCAGATTGTTGGGGGGCAAGAGGCTGACTCTGTAAACCGCTTAGAGAAGGCGGTAAAGCACTATAAAGCGCTATATAAGTCTAAGTGCTATTGCTATTCCTATTAAAACCGGGGAGGGCTGCCAATGATTTGGGAGCCGCATGG